AGCTAATTCTCTCTCTCTCTCTCTCTCTCTCTCTCTCTCTCTCTCTCTCTCTCTCTCTCTCTCTCTCTCTCTCTTTCTCTCTCTCTCTCTCTCTCTCTCTCTCTCTCTCTCTGTCTCTCTATTTATCCATCTAGCTATCTATCTCGTGCGCCCGGGCTGGGTTGTTGCGGAGCCGCGGTTGCCCTCTTGAGCGAGCGATCGCTCGGGTCTGCCGCGGGGCGGGCGCTCGAGTCACCGTCAACTCACGCCTTTGCGGACATGAACCTCCCGGTCGACCGCCTGGATGAGCTCCCCTTTTGGAATGGAGCTCAGGTAGCGGTCGATACCACGTTGGTCTCGCCTCTTTCCTCTTCCGGCGAGCCCCGCAGACATGCTGGCCGTGTTGACGGGGCCGCCCTGCGCGAAGCCCGGCGCCGGAAGGAGCGCACCTACCCGGAGCTGCTGCGATCCCAGCGGTGCCGCCTTGTCGTGCTTGCCATCGAGGTCGGGGGCCGGTGGAGCCCTGAAGCGCGCAGCTTCCTCCGCAGCCTCGCTCGTGCGCGAGCTCGCTCCGCGCCGGCCCTTCCTTCAGCCTTCAGTCGTCTCCGCTTTCGTTGCCCGTTGGTCCGCCTTGCTCGCGTCTGCCGCCCACCAGGCTTTCGCGGAGTCCCTCCTCCTTGGCTCTGTCTCGCCTGGCCAGTCCAACTGTGACGGCGACGCTCCGCCACTCAGTGAGCTCCTTGCAGAGGCCGCCGCCCCCCCGCCCTTGCAGGTGAGGACGCTGGCCTCCAAAAAAACAGCGTGAGTGCCCCTGGTGCCTGGGGGACCCCCTTAAGCAGGGTTTCGGGAGGCTCGACTCGTGCTGGTGCAAAAAGGCGAGAGAGAGAGAGAGAGAGATATAGATAGAGATGTAGAAAGCTATTTAAAAAACCGACCGATGTTTAACTAGCTAGACAAATCGATTGATCGATAAATAGATAGATAGGTAGGTAGGTAGGTAGATAGATACAGGGATGGATAGATAGATAGATCGGTAGATGGATAGACAAATAAGTAGATAGAAACATGGATAGAGAGATAAAAAGAAAGAGATAGATAGATAAACAGATAAGTAGATAGACAGCCAAATAGCTAGGTAGAGAAAGATAGAGCAAACTGGATAGACAGTTAGTTATATAGAGAGATAAATAGATAGATACATAGAGAGATAGATAGACAGATAGATAGATAAATAGATAGATATGGATAGATAGATAGAGAGATAGATAGGTAGGTAAGGTAGACAAAAAAAAAGAACATCACGCAGAAGGAAGAAAGAAAAGAAAGAAAAGAAGGAAGGAAGGAAGGAAGGAAGGAAGGAAGGAAGGAAGGGAGGGAGGGAGGGAGGGAGGGAGGGAGGGAGGGAGGGAGGGAGGAAGGGAAGGAAGCAAGGAAGCAAGGAAAAAAGAAAGAAAGAAAGAAAGAAAGAAAGAAAGAAAGAAAGAAAGAAAGAAAGAAAGAAAGAAAGAAAGAAAGAAAGAAAGAAAGAATGACGGAAAGAAGAGAAACGGCGAAAAGGAAGAAAAAGAGAAAACAAATCAAGACAATAAAGGAAAACACAACTATAATGTTTTGTATTTTCTGGGCCTGCGGGTATAGCCGGCTACGCCTCTTTAAAGTTATACCATGTCATGGCATGTTTTTTGTATGACAAACGTAGCCTGTGCTATGATATGGCTCCAACCGCAGATGATGCCGGGGATGCCAGCTTTCTGGGCCCCAGCCGGGCCCCAACCCAGAAGGCTGACATGGGGTTGCGCGCGCGCGCCAGGCCCCAGAAACAGCAGCCCCACGCCTACCACCTATTCAGCACACCCGCTCACGCACCCGCCCACAACTGCGTCACGCCTGCCACCTACTAAGCACACCCGCTCACGTGCAGATGGGGCGGGGTAGGGGCTGGTGCGCCCAGCCATCCACGCACCTAATAAGCACCGCGCCCAGCACAGCGCAAATGCCTGCCACCTAGCAAGCACACCCGCTCACGCGCAACAGATGAGGGGTGGGGTGGGGTTGGGTCTGGGGTGGGGCACCTGCTCACACGCACCCGCCCAGCACTGCATCCACGCCCCACCCTATAAGCACGCCCGCTCACGCGCACCCGCCCAGCACTGCGCGCATGCACTGCGTGATGTTGCGCGCGATGCTGCGCAGGCATGACGTTGCAAATGATGCTGCGCGTGACGTTGCGCACGACGCCGTGCGTGATGCTGCGCATGATGCTGCGCGTGCTCGCGCGTGATTGTGTGTTCATGGGGGGGGGGGGACTCTCTCTGTCACAGTACATCGAGAACATGGTGCCTGCGTGGGTGGGGCGGGAGCGCGCGGGCGTGCGGCAATCTTGCGGGCATGCGTGAGTTCGTGAACGCATGTGGACGCCGTGTGTGCGTCGGTGCGTCGGTAGCTACGTTTTTTTGTTTTTGTTTTTTTCTCTATCTATCTATTTATTTATCTCTTGTGCATCTATCTCTCTACCTCTCTACCTATCTATCTGTCAATCCATCTATCTATCTCTCCCTCTCGCGTGTATCCATCTACCTATCCAGCAATCTATCTGTCAATCTATCTATCTATCATTCCCATTTCTTTATCTACCTATCTATTTCTTTCTCTCTTATTTCTTTACCTCTCTATCCAGCTATCTTTCTATTTGTCTTCCTATCTATGTCTCTGTCTCTCTATGTAAGTACTTGTGTGTCTATCTATCTATGTATTGAGCTAACTATCTACCTATCTATCTCTCTTTCTTTTTATTTATCTATCTATGGATCCGCCCACCTCTTATCTATTATCTATCTTTCTCTTTGTCCATCTATCTTTCCATCTCTCTTTCTCTTGGTGAATCCATCTATCCATCTGTACCTAAACTTGCGAAAAAGCTGCGCCTGCGACGAAATGTGTACTTGACCTTGCGAAAGTGCTGCGCCTGCCACGAAATCTGTAATTGACCTTGCGAAAGTGCTGCAAAATTTGCACTTGACCTTGCGAAAGTGCTGCGCCTGCCACGAAGTCTTACGAAAGTGCCGCGCCTGCCACGAGATCTGTGCGTGACCTTGCGAAAGAGCTGCGCCTGCTGCGAAATCTGTACTTGACTTTGCAAAAGTGCTGCGCCAACTGCTGCGCCTGCCACGCAATTCAATTCTGCGTTGCCGTGCCAATGGCCCCGGCGCCGAGCCCGCAGTAGTAATGCAAAGGGCAGCCATAGCAGAAGCAGCAGCAGTAGCAGTAGTGGTCGTAGCATTAGTAGTCGTGAAAATTGTTTTGGACAACTTGCCCTCATTCAGGGTTCAGGTTTAAGGTTTGGCTTTTTTCTTGCCCTCAAACCCACCCGTTTTTAGTTTTGTCCTGCAGTCCCTGGGTCACTTGCGACCCGTTCGGCCACTTGCAACCCGAAATCGGGTCACTTGCAACCCGTCAAATCTGGAAGTTGTTGGGGGGGCTCGCTGTCACTGGCACGCTCCAGCACCGGTGTGGGGGGATGGTGACGTTGGGGAAGGGATGGGGTTGGGGATGATAACGCGGAGCGCGGCGGGAAAACGGGGAAGGTGTGTCACTGGCCGGGTGGGGTGGTGTTGGGGTATGGTCACGTTCGCTGTAAGTCACTGGCACGTTATAGGGGATGGTGCGCTCACCCCGCACCCCGCTCCAGGGGAACCTGCTCACATGCGCCCCGCTCACACGCAACAGCTGGGGTGGGGCACACCCGCTCACGCGCGCCCAGCACTGCATCAAAAAGAGCCGCCCGCAAGCCAGCCCAGAAACGCAAATGCAACAAAACACCGTGAATCGCAGCGTTTTGTGGCTGGGGTCGCGCGCGCGCGCCAGAAGGCTCGAAAAACAACGTGCAAAAAGCAAGCACCACGCAGCGCACGAGCCAGCCACAGCAAAAGCAAAACGGACAGAACAACAGCCCAACGCTCAGCGCGCAAGTGATGAGGAAGCGGAAAGGAAGGGGCAGGGACCGGTCCAGGACCAGTCCCGGGAGACCGTCACTTTTCGTGCATTCGGGTGTGTCTCCCAGTACAAAAAATCATCATGGATTCTCATTCCAGTTGCCGGTCCCCCCTGCAGGAGGCTAGGACGGCAGGCAGAGGGGCGGCGGATTTTTGAAACTTCCGCCCATGGCGTTTGTTGTTTGAATGCTGAAGGAATGGTTTGGGCTGGCCGTGTGGCGATGGCTTCCCATTGGGTCGTGCGCAACCTGACGGGACCCAGCCAGGCCAGCAACGTGTTTCGATGCTTTTGGCCACCCATTGTCAGTGTTTTTCACGGAAGCCATGGCGCGAAATTAATTCCACCAGCGAAGCCAGCAGATCTTCAGCAAAGATGTCACGCACATAATTTGCAAGTTCCTCTGGCTCAGGTGCGTTTCCTGTTTGTTGGGGTCGCGCGCAAAGGATTTAAAGTTTAGGCCGTTGAGCTCTGTTAGAATCTGCTCACTCCTCAAATTCCGTTTGTGCAACATTTGCCGCCGCAACTGCTCTTTGTTGGCAATCTTTCCGCAACTGCAATGACACAACGCTCAACTTCCGCAAGTGAAAATGTTTGCTTTGCAGCAATCAGCTGACGCACTGCTTTGTGATAGCCTTCCTTGCTCTTCCATGGGAGGTTTCCAACTACGATGCGCACTCCGCCTTTGCGCTACTTGCATGGCAATATGCTATCTTGCGACATTACCATGCAGACCGGGCAGACGGTCAGACAGATCGACAGACGTACCTACCTAAGCAAACACACACAAAGGTTGACACAACCTTTTTGGGGTTCCCCTCGTTGGTAGCGTGGCCTGGTGTTTCTTGTGATTCTTGTTTTTTGGTTGCTACGGGCCGTGCCCTATTTTCATGACGGGCGAACACCCACTTGCTATACTTGGAATCAAGGCCGTGTCTGTATTTGGCAAGCAGTGACGTTCTTGATTCCCGTTCATTCCACTCTTGCAAGCAATCCTTGGAGATTGCATTTCTTGTACTGCCATGCAAATCCAAGAGACGGTTTCCAGGTAGTTGCTGCTAGGATGCGAGTGCCATAGCCATGTGGCTTCTGCCTATCGCGGGATGCGCATAGGCAGACACTTTCTTTGGACGGTTCTTCCTTTTCAAGCCCTTCTAAGTTTGGCTTATTTGGGCTTTTGCGATTCTACCTGGAAGTACTGCGTGTCTTTCGACGAGATTATCCGCTCATCGACGGAGCAGCTGCGCGGAACCGTAGATGTGGCTCCGCCCGCGCGCCAGGGTACCTCATCGACGGAGCAGCTGCGCGGATCCGTAGATGTGGCTCCGCCCGCGCGCCAGGGTACCGATGTCAATGGCACTGGCTCATTTGAAACTGAAATCATTGTCAATAGCAGCTCCAATGTTTCCAACGGCAAGGGCAGCAACGCCAGCAATGACGACAACGCCATGGACCTTGCCCGCCAAAGCGCAGACCTTGCCCGGCAAAGCACAACAAGCCTTGCCCCAATTCAGCTTGCCCCAATTGGGCTTTTGAGGGATCATTTGGTTCTTGCAATGGGAGATGTGGGTCGGTTTAATCCGCAAAACGGCACCTATCGCTTGAATCGCGCATTCTGGGAGTGCTACAGCAAGAAGTGGGGCGCGTCAGTGCTTTTTATTGACCCGCGACGTTTTGAGAAATGCCAGCTCCACACAGACTGGTTTTTCAGAAGGGTCTGTGCAGTGGCATCCCTGGTCGAAGCTTTCGTGCGCGACAGCAAGGAGAATGTGTCAGAGACCGCGGACTCTTTCGGCCTTCCGGTGGCTCCTCGCTGGATCTTCCATTTGGACGGTGACTCCATGCTCAGCAACCTGGATCTGCCCCTGAGCGACTTCACCGTACCCTGGGACCGCGAGGGCAAGAGCCTGGTCTTCTACGAGCGCTTCCACAATGGAGAGATCGCCGCCGGGAACTACGCCCTGCGGGTGTCTGAGCTGGCAGCCCAGTTTTTGCGGGGCTGGGAACGCAAGGTCTCGGAGACCAAGAACGTGAAGTTCACCAACTCGGACAACGGCGTGCTGCACCTGCACCTGGCTCCTCAGATGGGTTACACCGAAAATCCCTACTTTTTGATCCTGTTTTGTCGTGGTTTCACATGTTCTTGGAGACGGGTCCCAGGTTTGGTACCTGCAGAAGGAGCTGAGCTTCCCTCAGGGCTCTCTGCAGAATGCCTCCCACGCCTGGGCGAGCGTGTTGCGGCAGTTCCGAGCCTCCAAGGACATCGGGTCCTACGACCGCTTCGTGGCCTTGGTGAAGTTGGCCCTGGGGCCCAGGAGGGACTTCAAGCATCTGCTCGTAGGACGGCGCGGCCACGGCTTCTGTGCGGACGACTGGACCAAGATGTATTTGTCCAAGCTCCATGTGTGTCACCACGCGGTGAAAAGTGCGGCGCAGCTGGTGAAGATGATCGGCCAGAGCTGCATCGACAAATCCTTGCAGTGCCTCCAGGGTCCGGCAGTTTGTGCACCCCAGACCGAGAGAGAGGCCCGTGTGAAGCTGCGGAACTTCAAGCCGGATCGCTTCGCGCTGGGCAATGTGAACGACATTTCTAGCTGCTGGCCGAATTGCACGCGGGACATCCCCCAAGCGGTGTGGGGCCAGATGGCGGTTGGGCTGCAGAAGAATGGACATTGCCTAAGTCCCCGGATGGCCTGCTGCTGCTGAGACAGCGACCCGACCTCTCAGGGCAGTGAAAAGCTGCCTCGACTGAAGTGCAAGGATGGCTCTGGCCAAAGTGCGCCAGGAAATGCCTCCTGCCCCATTGCAAGTAGTGAATGGTGGGATCAAAATTTGATTTTCGGGTTTGCAGCGTGCAATCTCTGGGGGTCCACCAGTACTCGTCGCTGTTGTGGAGCCAATGCATGCTGATGCATTGTTGCTGATGTATACAAATAAGCGTGAAGCAATTCTGGGTGCCAAGCTCCCAAAAGGAAGCCAGGAGGAGCACAGTGTTACTTGTCAGTCTGCATGAACTTGGTTGAGCCTAGGTTGGTGTTTGCGGGAACTCTGCTAGCATCCCAATGCTGCAGCCGAGTCAGTTAAACTCAAACAATGAGACATGGAGCAAACCCAACCCATTGCTTTCCATGTGCCCGTTTAGTTACGAGACTTTTCACACTCAGTTGACACCAGCTTTCCCCACAGCAACTTGTATTAAGGGACGTGATGGCAATCAAACGCAGCATGCTCAACACACCATTGCTACATGTTTGATGCGTAGGGTGGCCTGATGGAAACATGGAAGGCGATGGCTGGCTGGATGAAGCTTTGCCAGATTTTGATGAGCTAGCTGAAGAGTTTGCGGGTTGCCCAGCCCCAGCAGGGGGAACTGCAGATGATCAGTCCGGAAATGTGCCTGACAGGCCGCAACTGCTGAGCAACTGCTTGGCAGGCTTAGCGGGCGGCGAGGGCAAGTGGAAGTGCAAGACCTGCCTGTGCCAGTGGGACATGAGCACCATCAAGTGCCAGGCCTGTGACGGATACCAGCCAGGGCTATCTGAAGAGGCCATTGCAAAGATGGAAGCGGAAAAGGAGGCACAGCATGCAGCAGCCATTGCCAAGTTTCAGACGACCTCCACCGTCAAGCCAACAGGCTTTGGTTCTGCAGCGGCGAGTGCTGGGAGCATCTTCGGATCTGCAAGCTCTCCATCTTTGGTTTTTGGATTTGGGAGCGGTGAGGGTGCCAGCTCAGCTGGCATCGGCTTCGTGGCCACAGGCACCAGCAGCGGGTTCAGCTCTGGATTTGGCTCTGGATTCGGCTCTGGATTTGGTTCTGCGTTTGGTTCTGGTTTCGGAAGCAGCTCCCAAGCTGGCAGCGTATCTTTTGGTTTTGGAGGATCTTCTTCGAGTTCTGCTCCTGCCTTCACCTTTGGCACGTCCGCTGCTCCGGCTGCGCCCGTCAGCAAACAGCTGCAGGAGTTGCCTGACCTTGAGCGGACCGATGAGGTGCCAGTGGGGGACGTCTTTGTGCACGGCAGTGGGGAGTGCGACCAACTTGGCTTGGGAGACGACATGCGCGAGCGGCGCAAGCCAACTCTCATGAAAGCGCTTGTTGGCAAGCAGATATCTGAAATTGCTGTTGGAGCCATGCATGTTCTCTGCGTTTCTTCAGGTGGAGCTTTGTACAGCTGGGGGTGCAACGATGACGGGGCTTTGGGCAGGGTGTCCTCTGACGGCTCTGATGGAGGCCCGTCGGATGTAGAGCCTTCCCGCGTGAGCATGCCAAGTGGCGTTGCCGTCCGCAAGGTGTCTTGTGGTGATTGCCACAGCTGTGCATTGGATGATCGTGGAAGAGTTTGGCTGTGGGGCACCTACAAGGATTCCAACGGCTACATTGGCATCGTGCACAAGCGGAAGCAAGAGTCGGAAGTGCTGGAGAAGAGTTCTGAGCCTGCCCTTGTGCTGGAGGGATGTTCCATGCTTACCAGCGGTGCCAACCACACTGTTTCTGGGTTGCGCTTTGGTACGACCTTGAACCTTTTAATCACCTTTTAGCCTCTGCCGGTTTACCCACTAAGTAGCAAACAGGTTTAGTTTTTGCAGGGGGTCGAAGACCAAGCTAGGTTGCTCTTTCGGCAGCAAGTGGGCCAAGGAAGGTTTATGCTTGGGGTTCCAACGCGACTGGGCAGCTTGGTGTGGCTGATGCTGTTGGCTGCGGGTTTGCGGAGAAGCTGATTCCCTCCAACCAGCTCGGAGGCCTCACAGCGCGGGACGCAGGCGGTTGCGAAATTGACGGCGAGCCAGTGGTTCGACTGCGAGAATCCAACGGCACAGAGCGGAGTGCAGCGACCATGACCTTGGCAGAGTTGCAGCAAGCCGCCCAAGGGCCACAGGCAGCTGCTTTGATAGTGCAAGTGCCAGATAGAGAAGTGCCCAAAGCAGAGAAGAAGAAGCTGCTGCATCCACACGAAGTGTGCTTGAGCGCTTCCAATGCTCCTGTGGACGGCGTCTTTGCAAGTGCCGAATGCACCTTTGTCACGGTGCAGAGCGGGGATGTGCTGGGTTGTGGCCTGAATGGTGACGGTCAGCTGGGAGTGGGTTTTGCTAGCATGGCGGTGCCGACTCTTCGCGCAGTACGCCGGCTGCGGCAAGCAACCTGGCTGGGTGGTGGCCTGCACAGCACAGCTGCTCTAGCTGACGGGCGCGTATTCACCTGGGGCAAGGCTGAGGAGTGTGGCTTGGGCCTTGGCGAGAAGGACAGCGGCTGGGTCGAGAGGGTAGTTGGGACCATCTAGAATGCAGAACAAGAGCAGCTGGGGAGAGGGGATAGCAACAAACGAGTAACCAGTTTGTGGATGTGATTGTGGGGTGCTTGTGCGGGCTATTTCTTTCGCCACCTTGCAGGACCGTCCTCTGCTGGAACCTCGTGAAGTGTCGGGGCTTCCAAGAGTGCGAGCTTTGCGATGTGGTGGCCATCACATGCTGGCAACCACCATGGAGGGCGACCTTTTCGTTTGGGGATGTGGCCTGACCCATCAGTTGGGCAACCGCCCGCGAGACGTATCCAATCCTTGCGATGCTGATGAGGAGCCCGAGGACGAGCTGAGACCTTATCGCGTGTCATCAAAGCAGCTGGAGCAGCGCTTTGTCATGGTGGCAGACGGTGGCGCACAGCACACGGTAGAGCTCGCATGGGACGGCTCCTATGGCAAGCCACAGCCAGCGGAGGCTGCTGCTGACACCAACATGCGTGAGTCAATCAATGCAGAGGACTTGGAACCACCAGCCAAGCGCAGATTGACAGACCAGCCGGCGGCAGCACCACAGGAGGCAGCAACACGGGAGGCAATACCGGAAGAGACAGCAAAGCCCGCGGACGTGCGGCCTGAATCCACTGAAGATGCGAATGTCAACGAGCTGGTCAGCTTTGAAGGCTTAGCGGGCGTGGGCGAGGGCAAGTGGAAGTGCAAGACCTGCCTGTGCCAGTGGGACATGAGCACCATCAAGTGCCAGGCCTGTGACGGATACCAGCCAGGGCTATCTGAAGAGGCCATTGCAACGATGGAAGCGGAAAAGGAGGCACAGCATGCAGCAGCCATTGCCAAGTTTCAGACGACCTCCACCGTCAAGCCAACAGGCTTTGGTTCTGCAGCGGCGAGTGCTGGGAGCATCTTCGGATCTGCAAGCTCTCCATCTTTGGTTTTTGGCTTTGGGAGCGGTGAGGGTGCCAGCTCAGCTGGCAGCGGCTTCGTGGCCACAGGCACCAGCAGCGGGTTCAGCTCTGGATTTGGCTCTGGATTCGGCTCTGGATTTGGTTCTGCGTTTGGTTCTGGTTTCGGAAGCAGCTCCCAAGCTGGCAGCGTATCTTTTGGTTTTGGAGGATCTTCTTCGAGTTCTGCTCCTGCCTTCACCTTTGGCACGTCCGCTGCTCCGGCTGCGCCCGTCAGCAAACAGCTGCAGGAGTTGCCTGACCTTGAGCGGACCGATGAGGTGCCAGTGGGGGACGTCTTTGTGCACGGCAGTGGGGAGTGCGACCAACTTGGCTTGGGAGACGACATGCGCGAGCGGCGCAAGCCAACTCTCATGAAAGCGCTTGTTGGCAAGCAGATCTCTGAAATTGCTGTTGGTGCCATGCATGTTCTCTGCGTTTCTTCAGGTGGAGCTTTGTACAGCTGGGGGTGCAACGATGACGGGGCTTTGGGCAGGGTGTCCTCTGACGGCTCTGATGGAGGCCCGTCGGATGTAGAGCCTTCCCGCGTGAGCATGCCAAGTGGCGTTGCAGTCCGCAAGGTGTCTTGTGGTGATTGCCACAGCTGTGCATTGGATGATCGTGGAAGAGTTTGGCTGTGGGGCACCTACAAGGATTCCAACGGCTACATTGGCATCGTGCACAAGCGGAAGCAAGAGTCGGAAGTGCTGGAGAAGAGTTCTGAGCCTGCCCTTGTGCTGGAGGGATGTTCCATGCTTACCAGCGGTGCCAACCACACTGCGCTTTGGTACAACCTTTAACCTTTTAATGACCTTTTAATCTCTGAGCAAATGACGGCCTCCCCGCTAAGTGGCAAACAGTGTAGCTTTTGCAGTGGTCGAAGACCAAGCCAGGTTGCTCTTTCGGCAGCAAGTGGGCCAAGGAAGGTTTATGCTTGGGGTTCCAACGCGACTGGGCAGCTGGGCGTGGCTGATGGTGTTGGCTGCGGGTTCGCGGAGAAGCTGATTCCCTCCAACCAGCTCGGAGGCCTCACAGCACGGGACGCAGGCGGTTGCGAAATTGACGGCGAGCCAGTGGTTCGACTGCGAGAATCCAACGGCACAGAGCGGAGTGCAGCGACCATGACCTTGGCACAGTTGCAGCAAGCCGCCCAAGGGCCACAGGCAGCTGCTTTGATAGTGCAAGTGCCAGATAGAGAAGTGCCCAAAGCAGAGAAGAAGAAGCTGCTGCATCCACACGAAGTGTTCTTGAGCGCTACCAATGCTTCTGTGGACGGCGTCTTTGCAAGTGCCGAATGCACCTTCGTCACGGTGCAGAGTGGGGATGTGCTGGGTTGTGGCCTGAATGGTGACGGTCAGCTGGGAGTGGGTTTTGCCAGCATGGCGGTGCCGACTCTTCGCGCTGTTTGCCGGCTGCGGCAAGCAACCTGGCTGGGTGGTGGCCTGCACAGCACAGCTGCTCTAGCTGATGGGCGCGTATTCACCTGGGGCAAGGCTGAGGAGTGTGGCTTGGGCCTTGGCGAGAAGGACAGCGGCTGGGTCGAGAGGGTAGTTGGGACCATCTAGAATGCAGAACAAGAGCAGCTGAGGAGAGGGGATAGCAACAAACGAGTAACCAGTTTGTGGATGTCATTGTGGGGTGCTTGTGCGGGCTATTTCTTTCGCCACCTTGCAGGACCGTCCTCTGCTGGAACCTCGTGAAGTGTCGGGGCTTCCAAGAGTGCGAGCTTTGCGATGTGGTGGCCATCACATGCTGGCAACCACCATGGAGGGCGACCTTTTCGTTTGGGGATGTGGCCTGACCCATCAGTTGGGCAACCGCCCGCGAGACGTATCCAATCCTTGCGATGCTGATGAGGAGCCCGAGGACGAGCTGAGACCTTATCGCGTGTCATCAAAGCAGCTGGAGCAGCGCTTTGTCATGGTGGCAGACGGTGGCGCACAGCACACGGTAGAGCTCGCATGGGACGGCTCCTACGGCAAGCCTCAGCCAGCAGATGCTGCTGCTGACACCGGCATGCGTGAGTCAATCAATGCAGAGGACTTGGAACCACCAGCCAAGCGCAGATTGACAGACCAGCCGGCGGCAGCACCACAGGAGGCAGCAACACGGGAGGCAATACCGGAAGAGACAGCAAAGCCCGCGGACGTGCGGCCTGAATCCACTGAAGATGCGAATGTCAACGAGCTGGTCAGCTTTGAAGGCTTAGCGGGCGTGGGCGAGGGCAAGTGGAAGTGCAAGACCTGCCTGTGCCAGTGGGACATGAGCACCATCAAGTGCCAGGCCTGTGACGGATACCAGCCAGGGCTATCTGAAGAGGCCATTGCAAAGATGGAAGCGGAAAAGGAGGCACAGCATGCAGCAGCCATTGCCAAGTTTCAGACGACCTCCACCGTCAAGCCAACAGGCTTTGGTTCTGCAGCGGCGAGTGCTGGGAGCACCTTCGGATCTGCAAGCTCTCCATCTTTGGTTTTTGGCTTTGGGAGCGGTGAGGGTGCCAGCTCAGCTGGCAGCGGCTTCGTGGCCACAGGCACCAGCAGCGGGTTCAGCTCTGGATTTGGCTCTGGATTCGGCTCTGGATTTGGTTCTGCGTTTGGTTCTGGTTTCGGAAGCAGCTCCCAAGCTGGCAGCGTATCTTTTGGTTTTGGAGGATCTTCTTCGAGTTCTGCTCCTGCCTTCACCTTTGGCACGTCCGCTGCTCCGGCTGCGCCCGTCAGCAAACAGCTGCAGGAGTTGCCTGACCTTGAGCGGACCGATGAGGTGCCAGTGGGGGACGTCTTTGTGCACGGCAGTGGGGAGTGCGACCAACTTGGCTTGGGAGACGACATGCGCGAGCGGCGCAAGCCAACTCTCATGAAAGCGCTTGTTGGTAAGCAGATATCTGAAATTGCTGTTGGAGCCATGCATGTTCTCTGCGTTTCTTCAGGTGGAGCTTTGTACAGCTGGGGGTGCAACGATGACGGGGCTTTGGGCAGGGTGTCCTCTGACGGCTCTGATGGAGGCCCGTCGGATGTAGAGCCTTCCCGCGTGAGCATGCCAAGTGGCTTTGCCGTCCGCAAGGTGTCTTGTGGTGATTGCCACAGCTGTGCATTGGATGATCGTGGAAGAGTTTGGCTGTGGGGCACCTACAAGGATTCCAACGGCTACATTGGCATCGTGCACAAGCGGAAGCAAGAGTCGGAAGTGCTGGAGAAGAGTTCTGAGCCCGCTCTTGTGCTGGAGGGATGTTCCATGCTTGCCAGCGGTGCCAACCACACTGTTTCTGGGTTGCGCTTTGGTACGACCTTGAACCTTTTAATAACCTTTTAGCCTCTGCCGCTTTTCCCACTAAGTAGCAGGGGGTCGAAGACCAAGCCAGGTTGCTCTTTCGGCAGCAAGTGGGTCAAGGAAGGTCTATGCTTGGGGTTCCAACGCGACTGGGCAGCTGGGCGTGGCTGATGGTGTTGGCTGCGGGTTCGCGGAGAAGCTGATTCCCTCCAACCAGCTCGGAGGCCTCACAGCACGGGACGCAGGCGGTTGCGAAATTGACGGCGAGCCAGTGGTTCGACTGCGAGAATCCAACGGCACAGAGCGGAGTGCAGCGACCATGACCTTGGCAGAGTTGCAGCAAGCCGCCCAAGGGCCACAGGCAGCTGCTTTGATAGTGCAAGTGCCAGATAGAGAAGTGCCCAAAGCAGAGAAGAAGAAGCTGCTGCATCCACACGAAGTGTTCTTGAGCGCTACCAATGCTCCTGTGGACGGCGTCTTTGCAAGTGCCGAATGCACCTTCGTCACGGTGCAGAGTGGGGATGTGCTGGGCTGTGGCTTGAATGGTGACGGTCAGCTGGGAGTGGGTTTTGCCAGCATGGCGGTGCCGACTCTTCGCGCAGTACGCCGGCTGCGGCAAGCAACCTGGCTGGGTGGTGGCCTGCACAGCACAGCTGCTCTAGCTGACGGGCGCGTATTCACCTGGGGCAAGGCTGAGGAGTGTGGCTTGGGCCTTGGCGAGAAGGACAGCGGCTGGGTCGAGAGGGTAGTTGGGACCATCTAGAATGCAGAACAAGAGCAGCTGGGGAGAGGGGATAGCAACAAACGAGTAACCAGTTTGTGGATGTCATTGTGGGGTGCTTGTGCGGGCTATTTCTTTCGCCACCTTGCAGGACCGTCCTCTGCTGGAACCTCGTGAATTGTCGGGGCTTCCAAGAGTGCGAGCTTTGCGATGTGGTGGCCATCACATGCTGGCAACCACCATGGAGGGCGACCTTTTCGTTTGGGGATGTGGCCTGACCCATCAGTTGGGCAACCGCCCGCGAGACATATCCAACCCTTGCGATGCTGATGAGGAGCCCGAGGACGAGCTAAGACCTTATCGTGTGTCATCAAAGCAGCTGGAGCAGCGCTTTGTCATGGTGGCAGACGGTGGCGCACAGCATACGGTAGAGCTCGCATGGGACGGCTCCTACGGCAAGCCTCAGCCAGCAGATGCTGCTGCTGACACCGGCATGCGTGAGTCAATCAATGCAGAGGACTTGGAACCACCAGCCAAGCGCAGATTGACAGACCAGCCGGCGGCAGCACCACAGGAGGCAGCACCACAGGAGGCAATACCGGAAGAGACAGCAAAGCCCGCGGACGTGCGGCCTGAATCCACTGAAGATGCGACTGTCAACGAGCTGGTCAGCTTTGAAGGCTTAGCGGGCGTGGGCGAGGGCAAGTGGAAGTGCAAGACCTGCCTGTGCCAGTGGGACATGAGCACCATCAAGTGCCAGGCCTGTGACGGATACCAGCCAGGGCTATCTGAAGAGGCCATTGCAAAGATGGAAGCGGAAAAGGAGGCACAGCATGCAGCAGCCATTGCCAAGTTTCAGACGACCTCCACCGTCAAGCCAACAGGCTTTGGTTCTGCAGCGGCGAGTGCTGGGAGCATCTTCGGATCTGCAAGCTCTCCATCTTTGGTTTTTGGCTTTGGGAGCGGTGAGGGTGCCAGCTCAGCTGGCAGCGGCTTCGTGGCCACAGGCACCAGCAGCGGGTTCATCTCTGGATTTGGCTCTGGATTAGGCTCTGGATTTGGTTCTGCGTTTGGTTCTGGTTTCGGAAGCAGCTCGCAAACTGGTGGCGTATCTTTTGGTTTTGGAGGATCTTCTTCGAGTTCTGCTCCTGCCTTCACCTTTGGCACGTCCGCTGCTCCGGCTGCGCCCGTCACCAAAAAGCTGCAGGAGTTGCCTGACCTTGAGCGGACCGATGAGGTGCCAGTGGGGGACGTCTTTGTGCACGGCAGTGGGGAGTGCGACCAGCTTGGCTTGGGAGACAAGTTGCCGATGCGCGAGCGGCGCAAGCCAACCCTCGTGAAAGACCTGGTTGGCAATCAGATCTATGAAATTGCTGTTGGTGCCATGCATGTTCTCTGCGTTTCTGCAGGTGCTGCTTTGTACAGCTGGGGGTGCAACGATGACGGGGCTTTGGGCAGGGTGTCCTCTGACGGCTCTGATGGAGGCCCGTCGGATGTAGAGCCTTCTCGCGTGAGCATGCCAAGTGGTGTTGCCGTCCGCAAGGTGTCTTGTGGTGATTGCCACAGCTGTGCATTGGATGATCGTGGAAGAGTTTGGCTGTGGGGCACCTACAAGGATTCCAACGGCTACATTGGCATCGTGCACAAGCGGAAGCAAGAGTCGGAAGTGCTGGAGAAGAGTTCTGAGCCTGCCCTTGTGCTGGAGGGATGTTCCATGCTTGCCAGCGGTGCCAACCACACTGTTTCTGGGTTGCGCTTTGGTACGACCTTGAACCTATTAATAACCTTTTAGCCTCTGCCGCTTTTCCCACTAAGTAGCAGGGGGTCGAAGACCAAGCCAGGTTGCTCTTTCGGCAGCAAGTGGGTCAAGGAAGGTCTATGCTTGGGGTTCCAACGCGACTGGGCAGCTGGGCGTGGCTGATGGTGTTGGCTGCGGGTTCGCGGAGAAGCTGATTCCCTCCAACCAGCTCGGAGGCCTCACAGCACGGGACGCAGGCGGTTGCGAAATTGACGGCGAGCCAGTGGTTCGACTGCGAGAATCCAACGGCACAGAGCGGAGTGCAGCGACCATGACCTTGGCAGAGTTGCAGCAAGCCGCCCAAGGGCCACAGGCAGCTGCTTTGATAGTGCAAGTGCCAGATAGAGAAGTGCCCAAAGCAGAGAAGAAGAAGCTGCTGCATCCACACGAAGTGTTCTTGAGCGCTACCAATGCTCCTGTGGACGGCGTCTTTGCAAGTGCCGAATGCACCTTCGTCACGGTGCAGAGTGGGGATGTGCTGGGTTGTGGCCTGAATGGTGACGGTCAGCTGGGAGTGGGTTTTGCTAGCATGGCGGTGCCGACTCTTCGCGCAGTATGCCGGCTGCGGCAAGCAATTTGGGTGGGTGGTGGCCTGCACAGCACAGCTGCTCTAGCTGACGGGCGCGTATTCACCTGGGGCAAGGCTGAGGAGTGTGGCTTGGGCCTTGGCGAGAAGGACAGCGGCTGGGTCGAGAGGGTAGTTGGGACCAGTTAGAATGCAGAACAAGAGCAGCTGGGGAGAGGGGATAGCAACAAGCGAGTAATCAGTTTGTGGATGTCATTGTGGGGTGCTTGTGCGGGCTATTTCTTTCGTCACCTTGCAGGACCGTCCTCTGCTGGAACCTCGTGAAGTGTCGGGGCTTCCAAGAGTTCGAGCTTTGCGATGTGGTGGCCATCACATGCTGGCAACCACCATGGAGGGCGACCTTTTCGTTTGGGGATGTGGCCTGACCCATCAGTTGGGCAACCGCCCGCGAGACGTATCCAACCCTTACGATGCTGATGAGGAGCCCCAGGACGAGCTAAGACCTTATCGTGTGTCATCAAAGCAGCTGGAGCAGCGCTTTGTCATGGTGGCAGACGGTGGCGCACAGCACACGGTAGAGCTGGCATGGGACGGCTCCTACGGCAAGCCACAGCCAGCGGAGGCTGCAGTTTCCGTTGAAGTTGAAGGCCGTTCGCAAGAAGCTCCTTCGGATGAACCTCCATTGAAGCGAAGAGCTGTGGAAGTGGCGCCCTCAATGAGGCACAAATGCAATTGTGGAATATTCTTGTCCGTCCGGTTTGCGAAGTTTGCCACCCTGCCGCCGCCAGCATGCACGCTTGGGCAACATTTTTGAAGCCAAGGTTTCACTTTGGGACGCTGAAGGTGCAGCACAAGCTGCGGCTGAGGCACATCCGCAATGTTGGCCCAGCAAACAAGTTGTGAGGGTGGTTCCCTTCAAGTGAAAGACTCGTCCAAATAGGACCCCCACCATCAATTGGCCTACTGTTTATGAAGTCTGCATTAGTTTGCGATGTTCGGCTTATGGTGGTTCTCCCCGCCCTATATATATATATACACATCTGTGTGTGTACACGCTTATGTCATATATGTAGTGTCCTTCTCCCTTTTTGTGGCCAATGTGCGCACTCTGTGTCGGAATGGAGGTGACCAAAACCCCATGGCTGCTTCGGTTTTCAAGGCGGCGCTGGCCAGGTCCTCCGCTACTTTTCGGGCCACCTGCTGAGCGAGCCGGCGGCCGCGAGAGGATTTGAAACCTTCGGCTCAGCCCAAGGCGAAGGCGGGCGGCTCGAGCCGCGGAAGACGGAGCCGCGGAAAACTTGCCAGGTGTGAGGGAGATGCAGGCTGGCCGGTTGGGTTGCTTTGATTTGAGGTGTTGCTTTCCACCGGCAGGTTTTATGGTCCCCGCGTGATGCCAAAACAGAGGCGCGGTTGTGCGTTGGTGCTTTTCTTCTTCTGGAAAGGCTTGCTGAACTCATCGAAGCATTGTGCCAAAATCTTCATATGTCTAAAGATGCATTGCATACTGATTGATTGGGAAGCTTCAAGGTTGGGCATGCTCACACCGAATCATTCGCCCGAGGCTCCGACCAGTCAGCCCTGCGCTCAATGGCTTAATGGCTAGCACTCACGTCTTCCACAGCTCCATTTCGAGGCCTGCGCCGAAGCTGTCCAAGGCGCGGCAAACCAAAGAGAAGAGACATGAAAGTGCTTGAAGCCCATACAGCAATGAACTCGTTTCCAAAATCAAACATGGAACCCTGAGGCTAGCTCTCGGCGTTTGTGGTATTTGCTTTTCGTTTGTCCTAGGTTTCTGGATCACATTAGGCGCTTAGCTGGTTTTTGGGTTGCCAGGAAGTGAGCCACAAAGAAAGGACAGGGTCGGGCAAGTGGATCCATATTAATACAATCAAGGAGGTCGAGCAGCACTTGGCAGCCCAGATCTCATGCTTGCGCCACGGCCACAGCTCAAATGAAACTGGTGTGTGTGTGTGCGCGCATGTGTCTGATGGTGGGTATTAGTGTTTGTCGGCTTGTGAAAGGTTCCACTTTTGTCGGCACTTCCCCGATTTGTTTTGCAGTGGTTAACTTGCAACATTGAGATAGCCCACTGCTTGCTTGCAAAAGCCGAGGTGGGCTCGTATGGGCGAGTCGCAATCCAGGGCCCGAAACGGCAGAGAGTGCAGGAAAAAAGACGGTAACCCATCAGGTTGGCAGTTGTTCGAGGTACCCTTGTCTGGGTAAGCTTTAGTTGGTGGTTTGGGAGTGGTGGGAGTGGGATTTGAATACGGCTCTTGAGGGAAAGCACCAATCCATGTGAATGAGCGAGACGCTGAGCTGGGTTTGAAGGAAAAAGGAAAGTCACCTGACCCCAAAAAGTCACCGGACCCCAAAACCACCCACCTGACCTCCACAGACACCCCGAAAAACCGCCCAGGCCGCAGCTCTTTGGAGTCCTTGCTGCTGGCCACAGCTCGCAACGGCCTCGGATCGCTGGCTGGTGCGGTTCTGTTTTGGGACCGGGCTATGGGGTGTATTTGCACACACATACATACATAGGAATACTATGTATGCATGTATTTGTGTGCCTTTTTAGGGGACTCACTATGCCTTCCCTTGGGTTTCTCTTGAAACCAACTCCGAAAAGGGTGTGCGCAACCAAGACGGACCCATATCAAGGAGTATGGAGGCCTGCATTGGCAAATTCCAAATTCCCATGGGGGGAGAAAGCCTCGTAGCCTCCGCGCAGGTCTGCTTCCAGCCCACACAATCACCAAAGCATGGCTATATTTGCGGCTCATACCTTAGGAGCAAAGGTCTCCTCAAGAACAGCTCGGGTGCCAGGCCGCGATCAAGGCGTATGTGAAGCCATAGCCGCTCGCCACTGCGATAGTGCTGACGCGACGCTATGAAGCGGAAAGAGCGGGCACTTGGCACCAGGGCCGGGCATGCGCATCAAAAACCAATTATTTCAGGATGAAAGAACACTTTTTCTGGATCAAACAACAATTAAATCACGTCTGGCCCATCAGGGGTCGCAGTTAGCCAGTTAAGAAGTTAGCAAAGTGGGGGGGGGGTAGCAAGAGAAGTAAGCAATCCTTCGGGGGGGAGGTCCAGTTCGCAAGTTAACAAGTTAGCAATCCTTCGGGGGGAAGGGCCAGTTAGCAAGTTAGCAATCCTGCCGGGGGCAGGCTTCGTCCCACACCCATTAAAGCAACGCAGTTGGCTCAGATCCCGAGCGCCAGCCCCCCAATTTTCCTTGTCCGGGAGCTGGCGCACGGGAGAGGCGGCGGGCTGCGGCCCACTTTGGGTGCTAAGGCCCAAGCCAAGGACCAGGTCTCATGGCGTCCGTGGTGCAGGTTTGCCGGGAGGCTGCGGCGAGCGCGGCCTCGTCCATGGAGGACCCGCTGGTGCAGCAGCAGGCGGCGGAGGGGGCCATCCTGCGGGCTCAGGCGGCCTTTGTGGCATACCCGCTGGATGTACTGAAGACCCAGGTCCAGTCAGGGCACCACCGGTACAACCGCCTCAGAGCCTTGCCCTGCCTCCTGAAGGACTACAGGCTCCGGATTTTTAGGGGGTACCCCGGTGTGGGTGCCAACTCCTTCCTCATGGGCTCGCTCATGTTCGGCGGCTACCGCTTTTTCGACAACTTCTGGCAACTGTACCAGGTGCCGGACTACTGGCGTCCGGCAGTTGCTGGCGCCAGCATTGGGGCCCTGTGTGGCTTTGTGGCAACTCCGCTGGAGCAAGTCAAGACCATCATGGCCCTTCAGGAGACCTGGCTAAAAGAGGGGCGGGTCAAATGGCGGATCTATGGGTCAGTGCTGCAGGGTGCAGTGAAGGCTCCGTGGCGGCTGAAGTTCTATGCCGCAACCCCCCTGATGATTCGCACGGCCCTGTTCGACAGCCAGCTGTTCTTCTACAACAGCCGACTCAGAGAATGGGCCAACAGTGACGCATGTCCTGCAAACATGCACTTCTTGGTGAGCACTGTAGGTTTTATGATGGCGGGCTTGGTAGGTGCAACAATCAACTATCCTTTTGATCGCGTCAAGGGCCACATGATGGGCCAGGCATACCAGGTGTCTGTGGGCCAGGCGCCGTCTGAGACGACCTACTGCGCCTTCCGTTGGGTGCTGCGCGACGGCCTGGCGGGGCTTTTCCGGGGCCTGCCCACGCGGTCCATGCTGCACGCCACCGTGTGGTGCGTTGTGGGCATCGGCCGTGAGCTCTGCGAGACCCTGGGCTTGCGGGAACGCGCCAAGCGGCTGAGCGCTGCCCAGGGCCACAGCCGCGAGCTCAGCGCTTGAAGGGCCGAAGGGGCCGAGGGCGTGCCGCGATTCGTCTCACCAGGCCCGGGCTGTCCGGGTCCGAAAGTGGCCGTGCGAGCACTGGCGTCGAACAAAGGAGTAACATGCTTGCCACAGGTTGCATTTGTTGGTCACCAGGCTGCGCACCACATTCTATGAGTGCGTATTCTGAGGCCGCTTTGCAGGAACGCCTCAAAATCTGGGGTGGATTGTCAAAGCTGGTACTCGACCGCAGGTGTTTCAACCTGTGCTGCAGGTCATAGCCGGGTGTTAGCAATGGCGTCGTGGAGCCAGTTGGAGCCGACTGTTACAACCCTGGCCCTGCGACTTGGACGACATTCCGCGTTTCAACGAGCGCTTTGAGTTGCCTTGGCCCCAGATTGCGCGAGCGCTGCTAAGGCGGGGCATCTCCAAATTGCACACCTTGGACAACATCTTGCAACTTTTAGATTTTGCCTGTGCTAGTACTACGAGGATGTACAACTTCGTCTACATGCCCACTGGGAACCAATCTCATTCAGGTCTTGCGATTGTGAATTTCGTTGATGATGCCTCTTGCCGCCGGTGTTTCCTTCGACTGCAACAGATGCAGGCGTGGGATCTCGGATGCCGGAAGGTGAATCCCTGCCCATACTTGCCACCATGTTCCTCTTCCTCCTTCATACCTTCTGCACTGCTTCGCTTGCCTGATTTCCAGTAGTTTGGGGATTAGTTGACTTTTTGTCGCGTTTTTTGCGGGTTTTTGGTCCTTTTGCTTTGTGGCCGAAGAGTTCTTCGAAGCTTTCGTGGCGTTTTCCCGTGCTTTCCGCAGCTTTGGTTTTTTGGCTTTCTGTGGGCGAGAAAAACCAGTACTCGCCCACCCACTAACATGGAACCTGACGGCGGGGTCCCGGAAGACCCTTTTTTTGTCCAAAAGGGAGGTTCCGTGTAAGTGGATGAGAAGGTATCTTAGAGGAAAATGGCTAACTTCGCCCTAAATCCATCGAACAACCGAAGCCACTCCACCCAGCACCTGCCCTAGCCCGCCCGAAACCAGGCCTAACTCTATAACACTGATCCGGCCCTGAACAAAACTGATGGACTAACACGAAGAGAACTTTCGAACCAGACGGTATCGAACCCAACCCGCTGAAGGATATCTGCCGGAAACATCACCCGGGTTTTTTGTGGAGTAAGGGTGCTGTGCGAAGGCGACGTTTAGGGAATGGCCGGGAAGGAAACCTGGGAAGCGACCTGGAGTTGAACTAAACCCTCCCCACACCCACCCACAATAAAGCAACCTAAGCGCATTTTTGCCCCGGTGTTTTTTTAAGCTTGAGCCCATCTTACTAACCTTACCCATCCGAATCCATCCGAATCCATCCCGAACCAACCTGAAAATCTGGATCAGACCCACCAGCTCACACCACAAGCCCGGCCCAACCCACCGGAGCACAGGCTGGACAGGGAGGCCGCGGGAGGATACACAGAAAAAAGATCATCGAGCGGCAGAGGTTCAGCATATGAAGAGACCATGGAAGAAAGACCATCAGAAAAAAGGAGCGGAATGGAAGCACGAGACACATACAAGTTCCAACAAAGGAGAGCAAATGTTCAAGCAAAAGAGAACACGGAAATCCGATTTCAAAGAGGAATAATGAGGCAAAGATGTCGTTTCTTCGCTTTTGGAGGGCCGGCATTTTGTCTCGCTTTGTCTACCTTTGTCCCCTTGTCTTCCTTCATACGTACTCCAGGCTGGGTTCGCTTCGCTTGGACGGGTCTCCCTTTCTCTCCCTTTGTCTTCCCTCGTCTCCCTTCATATGTGCTCCAGATGGGTTCCTGCGCCTGGACGCGTTGCCGCCGCCTTGTCTCCCTTTATCTCCCTTTGTCTCCCTTTGTCTCCCTTTGTCTCCCTTTGTCTCCCTTTGTCTCCCTTTGTCTCCTTTGTCTCCCTTTGTCTCCCTGTGTCTCCCTTATCCAATTTTCTGCTTTGCCTAACTCATCTAGAGTTAGCAAATCGTATGGGCAGGTTCTTTTGGGTTGGCTGCTGGATGGGTTTCTTTAGGGTGGGTTTGGCATGGAGATTTGAATGCCGCCCTGTGCAGGAAGAAGGCTCAGTGGCAGGTATCAAAAGCATAGGCCAGTCATACATTCAAGGCTTCGCCGAGAATCTTGGCCTAAAGAATGCATGTGTACGTGTGTGTCTTTGTATGTGCTCTCGTGTTTCGTTCTTTGCCAGGAATCTGGCATACTATGCCGTCGTAGCCAAGCAAGATGATCGCATCACTGAGAAGCCAATTGTATTTGAGCTTGCCTGAGTTGCACTTGGCTTGTCGGTTTCGTTTTCACAGGTCGCTGATGTCTGTTCTTGTGACACGTGAGGTGGACGGCATGCCAGTGACAGATGCCATGCTGGACCAGCTCATCAAACATTTCGTCACCAATGACTTGGCTGCCCGTGCATCCCAGTGACTGGGCTGATGTGTTGCACTTCTTGCCGACCCTGATGAAGAACCCCCCCACCCCCACCTGTTAAGACAGGAATGCTTTCTTCCAGAACTCATGGTGAGGGCTTCGGGCGCATTTTGTGCCGGGTGAGCTTTTTGGGTGTCCTGGATGCCAGGCGAGCAGAGGCCGGAGCTTTCGAAACCCGGGCCTGGGTTTGGGGCCTGAGAAGCGCCGGTGGGGCGCTGAGCGAGTCCAGGCGCTCTACAAGTCCAGGAAGAAGGACAAATCTCTGAGCAGACGCCCACGAGATTCGCCTTCGATGCCTGGGCACCGTGATTCGGAAGCTGTCCCGGACCGGGAGCTGGGCCGCTTTTGAGACATGTCCATGAGTCTACGGTTCCCTTTCAGGCGCACATGATGGGGGGACACGACATTTCCCGTGCAAACCGGGGCACTCACCAGTTTTCCCCGTACCCTTGGGGGGAAAGAAGTGAGTAATCTTGCCCGTGGTTCATGTGGCACCTGTTGATGCCAGGAGGCCACATCGAGGCATCGCACAGACGTGCCGCTCGGCAGGCCCCCGACTGCGCAGGACGGCCCCAAGAAAAGAATGTGTTACATAAGCTGTATCAACCTTTGAGGATATGTACACCATGCACGCTTCGGGGTGGCCTGGAAATCCTTTGAGATAGTTGCCAGGTTCTAGTCGACTACTGTCAACCCTTCCCCCCCCACCCCCAATCCCAATGGACCCTCAAAAAGGAACGGACATCCCTTGTTTGTCGGACGGTTTCTCTTGCCCTCATTGCCTCCAGGATTGTCGGGGTTGCTTTTGGGTTCCAGGAGATGTCCCGCATTCGCCAGCTCTCCTTTGCCCTGCAAACATCCGACTCTTCAGACGTGATCCTCGTCTCGTTGTAGCCAAGTTAAGTTCCCATGGCCATCCCTTGGCTTGTCTTGCGCTAGTCGCAGGCTCTGACTGGTAAAGTCTGGTCGTTTTATCCCCTTTGGCGGGTGGTGCTCAGGCCGTTCGGCCTGACTTTTAGAGAAGCGTTGCGAGGAAGGAAGCAGAGCCAAAAGCCTGTGCCTTTCGTGTGACCTTTCAAATTAAAGTCGAGCTATGGGCAATCTTAAGGGACACAAGTTGCAGCAAAGCGAACGACCTGGCGAAGGAGGGGGGGGGAAATTGACCATAGCTCGTGTCCGCCCGAAGGTCGATTCCTGAGTCTTGGCAGGTATCGAGGTCTTGGCAAGCTGATAGGTGCCCATCCCGGCCCGAGAGGTTCTGGCCAGAGCAACACTCAAGGCCAGCGTCTTTCAGTGGCTTGGGGGGGATTGTCGAGCCCTGCAGCAATGCTTGAGGCGCTTAGGGAGGATGTTCTTGACAAGTCGCCAGCTTTGTGTTTTCCCTTTGGTTTCTGTACAGAGCCCGAAGCGAGAGGGAAGCTGAGGAACAAGGAGAACGAATCCCTTTGTAGTGGGATTGGTTCTCAATGCTGTGTGGCTCGAGGGTCACTTCAGCCGTTCCTCAGCCATCGCCTGTGGGTGTTCAGGGGCTTCGCTTTTGGCTGCGCCACTTTTCGTGGAGCACTTGCTCGGGCAGTGCTCAGTGCTCGCATGTGCAGATGCACTGCTTGCAGGGGGAGCTGAATGCACACCCCACTGGTCTAAACAGGCCTACCACCCTCAGGGGTCAAACAAATAGAAAGCCGCACATCGCAGGAGAAATAAAATGGATCGCCCCAGATCAGCACACTGAACGCAGGGCGCAACTTGAAACGCACCTAGGGCAGTTGGCATCCCAGTGCTTCGACGGCTCGTGGCTTCTCAGCTGCTTTGACCATTTGGATGCTGTTCTCCATTCTTGGAGACTAATTGCCCGGATGGACGTTTGTGGGGGCTATGCGACTGAGATCAGTGGCTTCGAGATACCCGGGAGGCCAGGGCGACTGTTCCTGGGCAGCCACCAGTCTGCCGATCGCTTGGAGGAGCTTCGCGCCCTGGGCATCGGATTGGTCATCAACTGCACCAAGGACCACGAGGCTAGCTGTCTTTTTGAGCCTCACATGAAGTACCTCCGAGTGGCGGTGAACGACAACGAATCCGCGGAGATCCTGCCGTACCTCGGCGGGGCAGCGGACGCGATTGCAGCTGCGCTGAAGAAGGGGGAGAGCGTTCTGGTGCACTGCATGCAGGGCATCAGTCGCTCGGTCACCATTTGCGCGGCGTTTCTGATCCGGCACTGCGGGCTGTCTGTGGAAGAGGCCATCCATTTGCTGCAGCGGCAGCGGCCGGTGGCCAACCCCAACCTGGGCTTCCGTGCCCAGCTGCAGAGCTTTGGTGCCCACAAGGAGCTTCCGGGAATCGATGGGGTCTATGACGAGGCCTGGTGCCGGGGGTCCCTGGCGGCCTTTGCCATGGGAAGCCGCAGCTTTGCCTCGCTCGGGTCCAGCGCCTCGAGTCCGAAGGTTATGCGCGCTGGCCTGGACTTTGTACTTGGCCGGGCGATGCTCGACAGCGACCTGCGGTGGTATGGCGCCCTGCTGAGGCAGGTGGACCCTGACACAGAGATGCTGCGCCAGCAGCTCCAGTCAGAAGATTTCCAGGAGTGCTGGGGATGCGACTTTCCAAAAGCACAGATCGATGGCATGTACCAGAAGGTGGCCCACTTTGCAAAGCAAAGTTGAGCTACATTCGACTGCCGGCTGGTCTCCCAATCCATTGCTAGGCTTGGCCCATGGAGAACGAGGAGAGAGTCGTTCGCATGACTTGTTGCATTGCCAAGTTTCGAGCCCAAGCCGCGACCCGCAGCTTGTTCGGCGGCTCGGGGGTGAAACGGTTTGCAGGGCTTCAGCAGATTCAGCAGACAGACGAACCAACGTCAGCCTTCGGGGGCGTCAGCCCATGCCATGGCTGAGCCGGGCCTCGACTGGGCTGCTGGCAGCCCGGAGGAAGCCTTCGCCTGGCTGGTGGCGCCCCTTACTCCGAAGCAGTTCTTCCAGAAGCACTGGGTGCCTCGGACGGTTGGAACTTTTCCAAGCGAGCTGGCGATGGTTCGGAGCATCCCCCTGCTTTTGTCCAGTGCGCATGGGAAATGGCCGGCTTTACTTTGAGATGACTTTTTCAAAACTGTCCTCATTTTTGAGATGAACTGGGCAGAAAGAAACAACATTTCTACTTCAGATTTGCACATCCCACCCTTTGGTCAGGAGAAGCGGCCGCTTCACCTGCAGGGCGCGTCCGGGCGTTTCGACGGCCTGCTTCCGCGGGCATGCCTGGAGGACGGGGTCGAGGTCCCTTTGCTCCACGAGCCCTGGGAATCCCGGATTGGACACCGCCATTTTGTTGGTAGAGGGGATCCTTTACTACTTGGGGGCAACTCCGTAGTACGGAAGCTTTGTAGTCCAGGGTCGACATTAGGTGATGTACTTTTTGGCTTTTGGTGTTCTGTCCATGTTGGGGCACACGCAAGTGTTTCTGCCGTCGCGCCAGGTTGGAAGTTCAGGGTAATTGTTGGGAAAAGGCACTGTCCCCAAAGCGCACAGGCAGGAGGCATGGCAAGTCCCGAAATCCGACAACATGGCTGCAGATGCAGCAGCGCCGCACCAAAAAAACTAAAAAAAGAAAAACACAAAAACAGGGACTCCACCAACCCCTCCCCCGCAACGAATTGGTGCTTATTTACTTGGAGCCCCCCCAACGCTTTCTTGCGGCCTTGCTTGGCACCGCGGCTGGTGGCCAGGCCCGGCTGCGGAAGGGGCTGGCCTATGGCAAGGAGCTGAACCTCGCGCGGTGCGGCGCCGACGGGCAGGCGGGGCTCCGCGTCACAGAGGTTTGGAGCCCCAAAATGGATTTCGCTCGTTTTCTTCTTCTTCTCTTTGGTCCCTGTTCACCCAACAAAAAGGGGGTACCACTTCAACACGCACCCAGCTTCGTTTCTTGCTTGTCTGTGTGTCTGTGTGTCTGTTTGTCTCTCTGTCTGTCTGTCTGTCTGTCTGTCTGTCTGTCTGTCTGTCTGTCTGTCTGTCTGTCTGTCTGTCTGTCTGTCTGTCTGTCTGTCTGTCTGTTTGTTTCTTTGTTTTTGGCTTCCGTCCGAGAAAAAAAGAAACAAAAACGCAACATTTCAAGAGGCACCAACTCCATAGGTCATGTGCAACGGCAAGGGCCTGGCGAATTTGACCGCTGTCAAGGAGAAGGCGGCCCAATGGTTGCTCGCTCCGATCCAAATCGGCGGGTTGCAATTTGGGTGTGGCTCAAAATTAAAGAGCTGGGGTTGCGCGGGTTTTAGTCTTTGGTTCCACGTGCCAAGATGCCATTTTGGTACCGCTTTTTTGAGCCACAGCCATTTGATTCGATATCTATGACAAGAGCCCGGCTCCGATCATTGTCTCGCCAACGATTGACGGATCGATCATTCATTGAGGGAAGGCCACAGGAGGTTATTGCCCTGTTTAAACATGTTGTTGTCTTTCTGTGGCGATCTCCTTGCATCACTTTGTCCGTTGGATGCCCTTCCGACAGCATGGCTTGGTGCACATGCCTCTTTTCCCACCAAAACATCGTCTTCCAAAAGGTCTGTGAAGAGAGGGGTCTGTGCACCAAGCCTCCTGTGTAGATTAGCCCGGTTTCTGGGCAGAAATATGTCATCTGTTGGGTTGACCTTCTTTGTTTTGAGCAGAACTTGATCTTTGGTGCCAGTGTGCCCCGGGCTCAGGTTTGTTCTCGTCGCTTGAGTGAGGCTTTCCCGGGCCCCGGGCTCGGTGGCGTTCGCAGGTGGCGCAGGGCTGCTCGGTGCAGGTGGTGCATCCCCAGCGCTTCTGCCCCAAGGTGGCGGCGCTGCTGGCGCGCCTCGAGGCCCGAGGGTTTGTCAACATCAGGGTTTCCATGTTTGTTCAGCTCAAGAAGTCACTTTGGAGTAGGGAATGCTCTTGGTTGCGTTGTTGGCGTTTTTTTTCTTCCCTTTTCGAAGGACACTGGTGTGGGTCCCCCAAGCGCAGTCAGGCGCTCGCGGATTTCTGGTGCGTGTGTGAGGGGCACACTCATTCGGGCGCAGCAGGAATTGGTCTGTTGCGGACCATTTTTTGGTTTCCAATCTTACTTGAGTTGTGTGTGTGGGAGGGGTGATGCCCAAAGACAAATGAGAGTGCCCTTGGTTTCACTCAGAAGAAGAAACCGAGATTGTGGTTCGAGCTCGGCCACACTGGCCATTGCCATGGAGACGGCCTTCAAAAAAGCAGGTGGTCTTGGGATGTGTCCTTCTAGCGAGAGCCCACGTTTGCCCCAGGCCCACTTCGGATGCCTTTGGGGCGCCAACAGCTTTCGCACACCGGCGGGGGGCAAAGGCTTCAAGGCCCACCATGATGAGGTGGAGGCAGGGAGTTGGATGGGTGAAGTTCAGCAAGTAGCTCCGTGCTAATCTCAGAAGGGAGACCTGGCCCCTGTGTTTGGGTAGGACAGTGGTGGTGGCTGGGAGCCCAACAACCCACAGTCTTCGGAGGAGTTTTGTTTTGAGACCCCGCAGTTTGGGGTTCTTTGTGGCCTCGTGGGCACATTTTTTCTGCAGATTTGACGGCTCCCCCGTGTTAAGACATGGGATGAGTGCGGCAACCAACAAAAATGCAAGGCTCAGATACGCCGGTTGCGTTTGTTTTTGACAAAAGTACGGACACTCTTCCCACCAGGCGCATTTTTGTGCGTACTAGGCATCCACGTTTGCCTCCTGCTTCGCATGTGAGGGAGTTTGACTCAGATTCATTCGGGCTTCCACTCGCACTTTGCTATCATGTTGGGACATCTCCTTCCTTTATGTTTTTTTTTTTTGGCTTTGGGTGCCGCATGGCGCCCTTCAGGTCTTCATGCTGCAGCTGGAGGGCGCCAAGCGCTGGCGCCTTCACAGCTGCCCCAAGGGGCCGCTGCCGCGAGACTATTGCTGGGACTACAGCGAGCAGGAGCTAGGCGGCTTTTGTGGAGGGTTGGGGTGGGGGGGCAAGGTGTCCAAAGTTGGCCGCTGGTTTTGGGTTCCAATCTCTGAGGTTTCGGAATGAATCTACAAAGATTCTGCGCCTCGGTTGGTCAGCATGTCTTTATGGCAGCCTGCAGCCATCTTATTCAGCTTTTGGGGGTGCTTTCGTGGCCTTCGCCAGGGGAGCCACTGATGGAACTGGTCTTGAAGCAGGGGGATTTGCTCTACTTGCCACGTGGGACGGTGCACAAGGGTGAAGCAGTGGAGGGTGAAGAGTCGCACCACCTGACCATTTCCACGTATCAGAAGCTGCTTGCCTGAATATTTTTTTGAACATGCTGCTCGGTTGAGAGGTGATGTGCGATGCTGTTTGACTGTCAGGTTTAGTTGGGCCGATTTCATGCAGAAGGTGCTCCCCACGGCATTAGACCAAGCTGCTGCGAGCGAGCCGCGCTTTCGCGAGGGCTTGCCGCTGCGCTGCCTCTCTTGGCTTGGTGAGCAGTGCCTTGTTTGCACATGAGCCATACGAGGTTCTCAAGTTTCGAAGCTTGCTGGAGGTCGATGAGCACAAATCCGCGCTGTCCACGCACACGCGTACGGGTCCACATGATGCGAGCGCGTGCCTGAGGCATTCCGCGGCGCCGCGCCGGCGCCGGGCGTTCCTGGCGCAGCTGCGGTCGCGGCTGCGCGGCCTGGCGCGGTACGCTGCCCCCGCCGCCCGTGGCGCCGGGGACTTCCTCGGCGCGCAGCTCGTGGCGCGGCGGCTGCCGCCGGTCGCGAGGCGGCCAGCCGAGGGCGTCGCGGACGTCGCCGCCCGGGCGGTGCGGTGGGCGGAGCCCGGTGCAGTGCGGGTGGTGGTGGAAAGCCGCCCGGGCAGCGAGCCGGAGATCCAGATTTACCATAGCTGGGACAACGCCGCTGAGAACCACATGCAGGATGTGGAGCCGAGGCAGCATGTTGGCGCCGCAATGTTGCAAGCCCCGTCTTCCCGCAGAGTGGCGTGAATATAAAGAGCTGAGGAGCCAGAACCCGCTTGCATCGTTCTGGAGGGCCTGCAGGCGCTACCCACGCTGCAAGCCTTGAACCGCGCTTGCGGCGAGTGGATCCCGGCCGCTTCGCTGGACTCGGAGCTCCTGGAAGGCCGGTTTTTTGTGGGAATGGGCTCTCAGAATTCCATCAAAGCTTGGTTGATTCACAGCAGAGTGTCTCTCTTAAATCGAAAGCCAGGACTCTGCGAGCACGGCTTGGTGGAAACCGGCGACTTGGGCCGCGTGCCGCGAAAGCGGCCGCGCGAGCCTGGCCGTGCGGCCCGCCGCCTGGGCCCAAGCACAATCCACTTCCCCCGCGCGCTTTCGCGCTTTCGCGCTTTCGCGCAGCCCAGGCCGCTCACTTTTGCGGGCTCAAAAGGGGTGCCACAAAGAAGAGGACGCAGCAGCCTAAGTGGGCGGCTCTGCTGGCTGGACGGTTGGCTTTGCCACTGGGTTTGCAAAGCTTGGGCAGGATGAGGTATTCGTTTTTCGCACCTTCAATCGATCCGCCTTTTGTTGGAGACAGCAATCAATAGTCAATTCTCTCGCTTGAAGGCTCGCTCATGACGCACTTTTGGTCACAGTTTGAACCGCCCAGGGCAGATGCGGCACAGGCGGCACGTTTTTATTCTTGGTTTGCGCTGGGCTGGGGGAGGGAATTCCGTTGGGCTTGCTTGGCCAGGAGCCGTCGGCTCCAAGCGCAAGCGGACTCGCAAGAAGGCGAAGCGGAGCGCATTCGGCACCAAGAAAGATGCGGTGTTGGCAGCGCATGCGTGAAAGTGGCCCCGCAGGCGTGGCCTGCTGGCTGTCGCAGGTTTAGTCTTGCCGGGCTCGACCGCCGCTTTCTGGGAGCCGTTTGCTGCTCGAGGTGTTACAAGGTGCCCAGATAGGTTGCAAACCAGTCAGCCCAATGGGAGCAAGCGTACAGCAATTGCGGTTTGGCAGTCCGAGCCGCACCCGTAACAGCACGCGGCCTTGATTTAGTTCCTCATGGTGAGGAAGCAGAGGGGTGTGTACGCTCCTTATCGCCAGGGAAAGCCCCCCGATGGTAGCGACGATCACAGCATGAGCAGCTGCGGTGATGGTTGTCCCTCACACCTTCCGTGTTTAATGCATGTCAAGATTTAATGGAGTTTTACCCCTCCTCCCCTTATTTGTGCAATTCGGATACCTCTTTGCAAATTAACATGGAGGCCAAAAAGGCGTCCCGGAAAACAGTTTCGTCTCAAAATCAGGCTTTGGGTTCCATGTTTATTTGCAGGGGAGTGATGGCAATGGGATATTGGTTCAACCACATGTTGATCCGTGCTGGCTTCATAAGCACGTCGCGAGGTGTTGCTGCTGCCGAGAGAGCGATAAGGACTTGGACAGCTTTTTCTTTATTTTTGAGCTGTACTCCCCCCACTCTTTTCCAGGAATCTTTCTTTCCCTCAGGAGATTGCAAAACAGCGGGAACAATGGGTGAAGAGAACGGGTGATGTTTTCTGTGCTGCGATTGATGTGATTTGAGGTGCCCTGTCAGTGTGCAAGGCCCAGTGCCTGTCGGTTTCACCCTGCGAGGAGGGCGGGTCTTCCGATGACAGCAGCGACTGTGGCTCCGATGCCGGGTCCTCCTTTGACTCGGCGGATTCAGAGCCGGGGCACCGGCCCCAGAAACCGCAGGTCTGATGCACACGAAGCCCAGAACCTTCCTCCCTTGCTTTGCTCCAAAGCGGCCAACAGGGCCGCCGTGTCTCATTATTTTGGGTAAGGAAAGGGGTGGATCAGTGCTTGATCAGGTTGCAACAGGTAGCATCAGTGAGCAGTGACTAGCAGGTAGCAGGCAAAAGGCCCAGGTCATGCGCTTTTTTGCCCAAGGTCGGTTTACACTTCTCCACAGACGTCCGGCCCGCAGATTCTCAGATGTCATTTGGCATCATTGCCCCCACATGTCGTTGACTTGCACCAGTTGTTTGACTGCACACAGATTTATCGTTGTTTCCCTTTGCCGCTGCCCACCGGCACTTGCAACGCCTGAGCCTGACGCGTGAAGAAAGCAACTGCTCCGGAGCCACCAAGGCAACGCGTTCAAGAGTGGGACTCTCTCTTCTTCACCCCTGACATGTTAGTCCCAGCCTCAGGTTTCTTGGCTTGGCGCGTTCAGCTTCGCCTCACCGTGCCGGCCGGCTGCTTCAGCGCGCCAATCCATAAGTGGAGCATGCCTTCGCCGGGCGACGGGCGACGGGCGACGGGTGGATGGCCATGGCTAGCGTGAAGGATGGCCAGGAGGGCATCTTTAAGGCGCATGGAGACCCAATCAAAGTAGCGCCGATGCCAAGTCCAAAGCCCCCCAAAGGCCAAGTGGCCCTGGCAGTAGGGTTTGCACGAGATGATGGGCTCAGCAATGTCAGGTGGTGCACGAGCGGGTGGCTGTGCGTGCGGGGCCTTCGGTGAAGGCTTTGCCCTTGAAGGTGCTGCAGAGAGGCACGCGCATGATGATGAATGGTGGAGCTTCGATGTGCTCGCAAGATGGGACAGATGTGGGGATTCCGTTGGGTCGTGTTCCTGATGCAAACCCAGATGAATCAACTGTTTCTTCATAGGGGGTGAGGACACCCCCCTAATTCTGGCCCCCGGATTAATAAACCGGTCCTATTGATGGGGTTTCCCTCCTGTGCCGGATCCCTGCTACTGTAACCAACTAGGGGCTTATAGATCCGGGTTCAACGATGTTCATGAACTGGGGTTGATTTATATTCTGGGTTCCGTGGGGCCCCAGCTTTTGCCCGTGCCAGGCGCGCAGCTGCGGGGGACCGTGCAGTGCAACGGAGACCCCTGGCTGCGGCTCAGCATCGCATCCATCAAGGCCGATCGCGGGGATCCTCCTCAGTTGGCGTGAAATTGGCGGGGTTACTTCCCGGGTGGCGGTTTTGGTTTTGGCTTCACTTTAAGCCAACCCCAAAAAGTGTGCGCTCAAAAACAGCACACCCATGTGTGGTTGTGTTATATGTATTTATGTATGTGAGTGTGTGTGTGTGTGTGCGTGTGTTGGGAGAAGGACAGGGTAGAGTCATTCAACACTAGCTAATGTCAACTGGGGATTGGGCATCATGGGTGGGGGGGCTTATTGATATTTATCACTCCGGAGGGGAGCACGGCAACTACTTTTTTTATCAGCTCACCCTCCTTTCCGATGGAAGGAGGGCTGTATTGTGGTAGTGTGTGCTGATGTGTTTGAACTCGGCTGTTTCAATTCGTCACGTTGGTTGCTGACTTGGCTGTTGCAGTCCCGGCTTGGACAGGAGCATAAGCTCGCATTGCAGAAGGACTGCGCTGGTGCATTCCGTTTCGCCATGAGTCCGAGCACGGACAGGATTCAGGGATGCTAAGGTTCAGCACGGGAGAAGGGCTAGCGGCTAGTCCTTCAACTCTATGAAGTTCATCAGCCGGCGGCTTGTATGGCGCTTCCTTGGCTTACACTCCAGACTAACATGGAAGCTGACAGGAGGGGGTTGGAAGCTTTTGGGGAACCCCTCTGTCCACTTCCATGTTTGTTGGGAGGGTACGTTCCTTTGATGTCAACTTCGACCCTAGGACGAGACGGCCTACGTGCTGATAGACGGCGCTTCCGTGGGTTTGGGCCAGCTCCTGCGCCCGGTGGCTGCGAAGGCAAGGCCAGGGTATGTGGCGGGGGTCACCTGCCGTCGTGCGTGCTTTTTTTTTCCTTTTCTTTTTTTCCCCTCCTCCCCCTCAGTTCGAAGACAAGGACCGCCACACGTCACAAGTGGATGGTATTTTCGGATGGGCCGGAAGTCTTTCAACCAGGAATTGCAGGGCGACGGCTGGTGATGGAAGAAGCGAACGAGGGAAGCGGAAGAGCGGTGCGAGTTTGTTTGCCTTGCTTTCCCTTTCTCATTGTTTAGCTTCGTTCAAGGCGTTTCAGGCCTCCGCGAAGAGATGAGAAGCAGGGATGGGCAAGGGACGCGACATGGTGGGAAAGCGTCCGCTAGGATGCATGGTGTCTCAATTCTCGGGTGGGCTCTTATCGTGCTGAGAGACCCATCCCTCGCATAGACGCGGTGCAAGATTTGCGCACCGTAGCCTTAACTTGCAGGCTGGCCGTGGATTTATCATTCAGGCTCGAGTAGCGGGTCCCTCTCTCCAGCTGGAGAGGGAGGGCCAGTTTGCCACTTGCCATGCAGAAGCATGTGGGCTCAAAAAAGCGGAATTCCAAAATGGGTTGCCCTGGTAAGTGGAAACATGGACCAAAACCTGCGGTTTGCCCCTCCTGTTTAATTTTGAGCCACACCCATGTGGGTAGAATCAAAGATTGTGGTGGTTTTTTTTTGGCGCTCACGAGGTGGAGGTGGCAGCTCGACCACCTGCAGCAGAGCAGACAGGTGGGAAGGTTCCCCAACCTTTTGGACCCATTTAAAATTTTACAGTGGTGGGCAGTGATGCTCAAAGGGGAACGATTGGGCCCTTTTGCGCAGTTGGCACGGTTTTTCCTGGGCCACATAGAAGGGGGCCTCGTAAATTCCAGAAGGCGGGATGCATCATGGTTCAGGTGCCACGGGCGAGTTCATCGTTGTGCACACCAAGGCGGAATCAGCCATTCGGGTCGCCAGATGCTTGAGCACCACCCTTCAGGGTTCCATGTTGCGACGGCTATGTGAATTCTTCTCAGTCTTGATTGAAGAGCGTGGGCCTTTGGGCGTTGATGGAGCTTTGGAAGCCATGGCATGCCGTTGCAAGTCAGGGAGGCCGCCCAAGGCCTTCATTGCTCGAACTTGACCTGTCTTGCCACGTGTGCCGATGAGAGAGGTGGTTGTGCGCTGTGCCCCCAGCACCGACGCAAGATTGCTGGGCGGCAGACTGAGCCTTGGCAGTCGTTTTGGCTGAGGGTTCCAGCGCGCGCAGGTGCCTTGACAATGGTCTACGCTTGGGGAGGGGACTTGTTTGGGCGAGCTCCTGGCAAGTCATGGGCGAGACTTGCCAAAGCCAGCGGCGCGTCAGGAAAGGCGCCCTCGTCTCCGCCACGCCGTGTGACATCGAGCGCCAGCCGTGGCTACAGCTGGCGGATGGCGAAGGCACGCCCTTTGACCTCAGCGGGAAGGCCTAAAAATTACTCACGCGCAGATGCACTCAGTAAGTGATACGGAACATATGTCACCTGCCTGGTTATGACCGAACAAAGCCATGTTTCTAAGCCCCCAAGTGTGTGGGAATCATGGAAATGAAGCGCTTCCTGATTTCCTTTTTTCTCCTTTTTTTCCGCTCGAAATCCACGCAAGCCGCCAGAGCCGAAGGAGTTTTAGCCGTATGGTGGGGCCGCTTGCGAGAGGAACCGGCAGCTGACAAAAGTCGCTGGATTTCCAACCTGTCGCCTGGTGTTCCCGTGATCCGTACAGTTCAGCCCGGCGTCTCTGATTCGAGGCTGGATGCTGGCGGACGGGGCCGCGCTGGGCCTCGGCCGGCTGCTGGAGCCGGTGGCTGACCCACTGGATCTGCTGGCCTGGGCAAGGCAGTTGGATCCTTTGCTTTTGTGTGAACAACACATATATAGCGACCCAAACCCGGCACCAACGCAAATCAAGCCTAAACCAACCCCAGTTTGGCCCGTGTTGACATGTCCAGACGCAAAACATATCTTGCCGCCAGGTTCGGGAGCCGAGACATACCTCCCCCGCTGGTGGTTCCTTTTTGAATGTTTAATTTGTTTGGAATAGGTGTTACTTGGGATCTAGCTTTCGCTGGCACTTGCAGCAACCCCCACACTCTGAACTGCATACTAGTGCGCAGCTGTTTTCACCGGGAATCTCACGACATATCAGGCTGGGATCGGATCCATTTGGCAGACCCCCAGAAAACCCGTGCCCCGTTGACCAGGCAGCAGCAGTTGACTTCGGCCGGGGCGTCGGTGACCTGGACAGAGCGCACAGAGCCCGCGCTGCAGCACTTGGAAGCGGAGGCCATGCGCCAGGTGCGGGCCTCGGGGCGAGGAGGGGGGAAGGGCTTCGGTGTTCCTGTTGGTTTCCCTTGAGAAATCACCCAAAAAGGGGTACCAACAAAAGAGAACACATTGAAATTTTGGGAATTTGCCGTGGTTTTGTGGTGCATGGTTGGTTTACTTGCACGAATGATCTGGTGCATCCACCCAACTTGAAGGGCCTCCACCCTACTTGAAGGGCCGGCTGGGTGGAGCGTTACAACCACGGCAAGAGGGGTCATGATCAAAACCTACCGCTGGCCATGGTTGCTAACACTACTCGCCTTCGTAAGGTATCATCAATTTGTGGCTTTTTAGGCTCGGGTTGCACAAGGGTCATTTTCAAGCCCTCCGAGCAGTTTGAGCACCTGGTCATGCGAAAGGGGATTTGGAGTTTCGTTCTGAAGCGACTGGATTGCAATTTCGAATGGTACCGCTTCGGGTCAGGAGCTCCCAAAGGCCCTGTGAATCGCATCTCGGGCGATGGCCCAACTGGTGCGGCGACTAGCACTCCTTGGAATTCAAATCAGCAAATCAGTTGGTCTGTTGGACCCCACACGCCCTTTGCAAGTTTCAATGTTAGTGGACGGGAGGGTACTTCGTCCAGTTTGGAGCTTTTCGGGCTCCGCAGGTTTCTGAGCTCAACCACGCTTGCGAGTGTGCTGCCGTGCGGAACATCCTCATAGATTCGGGCTTCCTCCAGCCGGAGGACTGATTGGCAGGTCCAGCTAGCTGCATTGACCTCTTGCACTTGCTTCGTGAGAGTTGCTGACTTTTCCGGCGATGTCTCAGAGAACCAAATTCCTCTGCCCACAATGCTTTTTGTCCCCAGAATGCAACATGGTCCCTCTCTTTCGCCCAGAAAACTGCAGTCCGTTTTAGTTCAACACCCCCACTCCCACCCCCACCTCCCTCTCCCCAGGGTTGGTTTCCCTGGAGCGCTGACCCAGGACGCCACGCTGGGGGCGCAGGGCATGGCCTCCGCGGTGCTGCGGCAGCTGCTGCGGCGGAGGGCCGGGGAGCTGGTGCTGGGCGAGGAGCTGGGAGGCGCGGCATCCGTGGCTCCGGAAAGGGGGGCTGGGGGGTGCGGGGGTGCGGGGGTGCGGGGGGGAAGGAAACCCAAGGGAAAGAACAGAGCTGTACCGGGTGTTGGTGTTTGCCAGCTTTTTTTTTTTTTTTGGGGGGGGTGGGGGGGGATTTGAGGGACTATCAGTTTGATGCTAGAATTGGCCGATTGCCCAGTTGAGCCTGGCGCGGGACTGACGCAAGCGCTCGTGAAGAAACCGCTGCCTGGCACGGCGTTGCCGTGTGCCTCTGCTTCAGTGGCTCAAGCTCGCGGGGAGCTCGAGCCGATTGAGCCGATTGAGCTGACCGTCCGCCATGCAGGGAGGCGCTAGAGAAGATCTGGTCCATCTCAAGCAAGTGACCAAGGCTTGCGATGCCTGCGGAAAGGAGACGCCTAGCCATCGTCAGTGCCTCGACCCAGCACCACGTGTGCAGTGTTTTCCCCAGCCCCAACCCCGATTCCAACCCTTATTGATGTATTTCCAGTTAGGCTGAGGATTTTCCTTGAGGTTATCACGGAACCCACAACGCCGTCATTTCTGGAGGAGGCTTTGAATACGCGGGGGTGTGTTCGGCTTTGCCCAGGAAAGACGAGCTGGTGTCCCCTCCGTTGGACACCCTGAAGGTGGAGGACGAGATTTTCATCTCGCCCCAGGCGGACCTTTTGCTGCTGAAGGCCCGAACTGGTTCGTGAGCGAAGCGACCAGGGAGAGCTCAAGACATTTCAAGCGATTTAAACCGGCTTCCGGAAGCAGGGGAAGACCCAGGGAAAACCCAGAAGAACCGGATTTGGCCGCCCTACCAAAAGGGGTTACACCAAATGTGTTTGACTCTTTACAAGATCCTTGTTGCAGCAGCCGTGGTTTGAACCATGGTGACACCAGTAGTTTAACCCTTTAGATTATGTTAAGCAAAAAGTGGCTTTAGGCCATGGTCTACATTTGGCTGTTGGTTGAAAGGGAGCCAAGGAGCTGGGCGTATCGAAACATGCTTCCAAATTGGGAGAGAAAGGGGACCAGCAGATCTGAATAGGAACATGGTCTGCATGAATCACATGCTTACTATTGTTTCCACAACCTTTGCCCCTCCCTAAAGCGTGGTTCCAATGTAAATAAAACCACATGGGCTGAGCCGCCGCCATCTTCGCCTCGCCCCAGGCCCGGGAGATGTTTGCCACCTCGGTGGCTCTGCCCATCGCCTGGCTGCATCTGGACGCGGACGTGGAGAGCAGCCGCGCCCGGAAGCAGAACCGCGTCAAGGAGGGCGCGGAGAGCGTGTGCCAGCTGCAGCAGCGCTTCCGGAACGGGTTTTTGGACGCTCGCCCCGGCTTTGCTTTTTTTTTTTTGGGGGGGGGGTTCTGTTTTGTTTGTTTTTGGTTCATTTGTTTCTTTGAAATGGCTCTTGAGTGCGCTGGGGGGAAATGAAGCCCACAGATCAATTTGCCCCGCGGCAGTGCAGGACACCTACTTTGGAGTGTGGTCCTTTTGTGCGGAGGAGGAGTTCTATCTGCTCTCCTTGCCGGTGCTTTTCTGGTGTGTGGACTACCGCTTTGCGCGGCACATGACCTATGTGGTTTGCTTCGGCCTGGTTTGGGGAAACCTCCTGAAGGATGTGTTTCGCTTGCCCAGGCCCAAGAACGTGAAGGCGGAGGTTTGGGTGCCCCACAGCGCGTCGCAGATCGATTCCACCGCCTGCCGCGATTTCGGGTTCCCCTCCACCCACGCCATGAACTCCATGAGCAACTCTCTCTTCACCGTCTTCTTTTTCGGGTTTTCTCCTTTTTCGGTGGCGGCCATGTCCCTTGGCTGCCGTTCCGGTGCGACCAGCAACCTCTCAACCTTTCGGAACACCTGCAGGGTTCCACTTTGCGGTTGGCTGATGTTGACCCCATAGAAATCAACCCCAGTTTGCTCATAGGGGGTGTTCCCCTCCAACAGTGGTTTGCTTCTTCACTAAACCCAGAAACACCACCCTGGGGTTGATTGTGGGGTGAACACCCAGGTGCTTCTGGATCCTCTCCATCTCTTTGGGTCGCCTCTACCTGGGCGTGCACTCGCCCATGGACGTGAAGGGCGGGCTTTTGTTGGGCGTGGCCGTCGCGGTGCTGGCTGGGCCTTTGGGGGCGTGCGACACCTTCGACCACTTCATGCTGAAGACACCGCAGCTCAGCGGCACGAAATCGGCTTCTCGGTGGCCAGCATTTTCAAGCATTTGGCAGTTCGAAATCGATCCTTCTCTTGCCATGCATGGTGGTTTCCAGTTGCCCTTCCCTTCTAGTTGTGTCTCGCGCCTGTTTTGCGGATTAGGCATCCTGCTTTCTCAAAGCTCAGTTTTAAGTGCCCCACACTTCGGGCCAGGTGCAAAGCACCCCCCCCAAAAAAAAGCACAAAAAGCTCGTGTGCAGGCATGTGGGCCTGCTGCTGCTCATGTACAGCGTCTTCGTGCTGATGCTGAACCCGCAGCCGCGGCCGCAGACGCCGACCTTCATGCAGAACTGCACGCTGTGGGGCCTGATCCTGGGCTGTGCCGTAGGCTTCCGCATGGAGACGGACCGGAGACAGGGGCCCTCCCTTCATGCAGCCACCCCCAGCCAGGCAAGGGGCAAGGGGGGGGAGTTGGGGGGGGGAGAGAGTTGGAGAGTCAGAGTCTTCTGGGTGGGAAGCATCCCTGAGGCATTGAGGCAGGTGTGACCCTGTCCAAAGCTTTTTAAAAACCACCTGCCTTGGCCGCCCTTGGTACAACAGCTCTAGGTGACTAGTTGGGGTTTGATTAAACATAGATGGCACTGGTTTAGCTGGGGTTTCTTCCATTACCAGGGCCATCTATTTTTCCAAAAGCCCACCTATGCATAGGTATGCAAAGCAGTGGGGGCTCAAAGATGGTTCCAACCTTCCAGTGCGTGAGACAGCAGCTGCGCGGACGAGTTTTCAATTTGGGTGGGTGGGTGGGGGCAATGGAAATAAGGCTGCATGGCTTATAATATATATATATATATATGTATCTCTCTCTCTCTCTCGCCCATTCTCTCTCTCTCTCTCTGTATATCTTGCATATGGATATGTGCACATGTGAATGCATATGCGTGTGTATGCATGCACGTAAGTTTATGCATGTATGCAGATGTGAATGGGATGGGATGGGACGGGATGGGATGGACGTGTACGTATGTACATCCGCTTTCAATCACTGCGTGCATTTAGACGTGTGCACAATATGCACGCCAGCGCGGTGCCGCAAAATACATGACAACTCGTCAACTTCCTATGTCAGGGGCCCCCAATGAGGGGACCCAGAGAGGGGCGGCCCCCAAAGAGGGGACCCCAAAAAGGACCCTGACACTATGTCAAATAATTCATTCACACATGCAATTTCAATTCGTTCATTGTCCCTCTATTTGCCTAGGTCGTTCGAACGTTTGTTGCGCAATGCGCTCCACCTGGGCGTCCGTTTTCAAGCTCTCAAATAGCCGCACGCTCTCAATCTCATGCGCGGGTATCTACATACACATACATTTGCATACACATACATTAGTGCATACATACAACAACATAAGTTGACACTTCTGCGCATATACATACACACATTCTTTTCCATATACAACTGCATGTGCACATGCTTATGCACATACAGGTGAATTCACACTTACACGTGCGCATTCTCTCTAACACACACATACACATAGTTGCATACACAATTATATGAATGTATATGCATGTACATACCTGTTTACATAGACACACGTGTATAGACACACACACACGCACATACATACATACACATATACATATACACATATACACATGTGTATGCATATTATATGCATATCCGCAGACATATGTCCCCGAATGGCGAGGTGGCTTTGCGTGTGGTGCTGGGCTACTCCATGCTGCTCTTGGCGCGGCAGCTGCTGAAGTGGGCGCTCAGCTCGCTGCTGGAGGGCCTGGGCTTCGAGCCCAGACCCAAGCGCGTGCGGCGCAGCGACATGGGCGCGAGCCCGGGTCAAGGGCTGAAGGCGGATGGGGGAAGCTGGGGGAAGAGGACGAAGAGCGCTGCGTGGGAAACTTTGGCTTTGAAGGGGAGGATTTTGGACATGGAGTTCTGGTGAGGGACGTGGTAGCGAAGTGCCCCCCAACGAGCTGAAGGTAGGATTCAGAGTCTGGTTGGTAGTTCATGTCGCCACGGGTTTGTCTTTGCTGGCTTGCCCATGCAGGCCAGCCTAGCAGCAAGTAAGCAAACAAGTAAACCATTCAGGGCTGTAAAGCACCTGTGCATCACACAAGCTTCGCCGCCAAGCTCTTCCAGGGGTTCCGTGCCTTGAGCCCTCCGTTCCGTCGGAAGGCCTGGGACTTGGTGGCCGCGGCGCTGATGAAGACCACCACGTACACGGTCATGGCCTGGACCATCCTCTGCGGGGCCCCGGCGACCTTCGAGGTCTTGGGGATCCCCTGCTCCATGAATGGCTGAGAGAAAAGAAAAGCGACGAGTTCGCCCGGCCGGCTGCGAGAGGCGGTTTGGATCAGACTTTCACCTCGTAGGGACAACATTTAGACACGGGATCTGACTTTGACTTGATGGTTGACATGTGATGGCCTTTCCACTCAGCAGAAGTAAGTGGCCTGTGATGAGAGGGAGGGAAGGGAGGCGTACGGTGTATGGTGGAGGTGTCCGTGTTTTTTGGTGGTTTCGACAAGTGCATCACCGTGTGTTGAGTGCGGTGATGAGGCCATATGAATTTCTGGGAGGGGAGGGGCTGGAAAGTGGCCAGCAGTCTTTCCAGACAGGGGCTTTGAGTTCGTTTCCTTGGGGTGGGAAAGGGGGATTTGGTGGATGCGAGTCAGTAGCGCCAGGCCTTTGGGGAGTCAAGGCGTTCGAAGACTACTTGCAGCAGCAGCTTGGCACATCACATGTGCTCGATGCTCATCGATGGAGTCATGGGCACCTTGAATCAAAGCACGAGCCTTGTTTGAGGCAACGCAGAACAAGACAGAGTTTCCTGGTGGGTGTTTCTTTGCCAACCGCTGTGCATACGCTAGTTGCAAGAGCAACTGGCCGAGGAAAGTCTTGCCGATCGCTCCCTACTATTGCCGGCTTGTGCTACCAGAGGCTCGTTGTGGTTAAAGAGCAGGCGGCTATAGCAATGTCCTGTTATGAGTTGCTTGCTAATGGCAAGCACATGTGTCAGTATGCCAGCCGATCAGTCAGGTGGACATTCTTGCATATGTTGGGGAATAGCTCCCTTGTAGATTGACATGGGGCCCCTTCAAAGGGGGGTGCCTTTGCACGTATCTTG